AAATTAGTCATCGATTATTTTAATAATCAATTAGTCGTCGACTAATCGTGGAAGCCCTAGTGTCAGTGCATTTGCCTTTGGCCCAAAATATCTCATGAACCCCTGGATGGATTTAAAAATAAACTCAGAAAGTAATCATTAGTTTTAAGTCTAAAACTGATTAACATTTGGCGTGAACCTGTTTCAGCTAATCAACCTCTGTTTGGTGTAGTAATAGCTAAGAATAACCTCCAACACATGCCCCGAGCACTAWCAACTCACACAACATAATTGTTTAAAACTTTGGCAATCAGATGACAAGCAATAAGCATTCCTTCAAGAAATGCTTCTTTCATTTTGTTCTGTTCTGGCTTTTTGAATCCAGAACTGGCTGAACATTTATTTRGAATGTCTGTCTCTTTTACATTTTCCTTTTAGTAGTTTTACACCAGCAGTGCCCTGGATTGGAATCATGACACATGMTAACGTTACAGTATTATCACCATTACATAAAGTAGATTATGTTTTACTGTATTGGAAAATTGATTAAAAAATTTTTGTTTTCGTAACTTTTTTTTAGAATTCAGCAATTGATGTTGGGTCCACATCAGGATGTTTACCATTCGCTTGGCCTCCAGTTTAAGTGGGGGGGTTCTCACGCGAACGCTTCTCTGCTCAGATGTCTCGGTGTGGATGAGAGGAACATTGTAAGTTTGTCATCATCAGCTGAAATTTTTACCTCTAAGCTGACTACACTGCTGCATTCCTTTATATAGCTGTCTGGATCAGGCCTGTTTACAAAGTTCGCTCCTGATCCATCCGTAACTTTGCGTAAATTTTGTAAACTTGTGTAAATTTCATTAGAGAGCGACTGCAGTTATTTTATGAAGCCAGAAGAAGACGCATACAGAATAAATTGAAGAGGTGGGAAGTRATTTTACAGCTTCAGCAGCTGTTGCTGCGTGATCTCTTTCCCATTTATTTTATTAGTTTGAAATGGTCTCCAAACAATATTATTGTTTATAGCAATAATTTCTGAGACAATTTATTGTCCAGCAAATTTTGTTAACGTGACAGGCCTAGTCTGGATAAATTATAAATGCTGATTTCAAACTGGAGCATTTTTTGTTTTTTATTGCATTGGTTTTCTTTTGTCAGTTGTTTTAATAAATGAGTATTTTATTCATCCCTGAGGGAAATCACTTTTTGTCTTCTGAAAGGTTTGTATGAACATGAAGAAGCAGCCAGTGACTGTTTCTACTTATATGTCTGGCCTGGTGAGCTATCAGTCTTAAATGTGAAAATGGCTTGGTTTTACTGCCCTGCTTTTTTGTTGTTGTCAGTTTAACCATATGACATTTCAATAATTCATCAGGGAATGCTGGAGCCCACCAAAGACCCTTTGCCAGTTGTCTGTTCTCCGCAACCTAAAGGGTCTCGGTGCACACCGGTCCCCTCTGCACATTCAGGACAGGTACTGTTTGAGTTGTCCAACATTAAACAACGCCTTGAATGAGTTAAGACTGAAATGTTGTTAATTGTTATAAAATCTCTCTCCTTCGTAGTCGCTCCCTTCGAGACAGCTGAACTGGAGCACCCGCAGCCTCAGCAGCTCTCAGGAGGGTATGTCCCCTTGCCGAGCCCCTCACATGTAGGGTTGAAAGTAAACCACCAGCCCTGAACAAAATGGCTGCCGCTAAAAACACCAAAAAAAAAGGCTTCCCACTTCCTCCAGGGCATGTTTTGCTGCTATAATTTCATGCTGTATTTCCCCTTCGCTCACTGAGCCGCATTGTGTTGATCACAATGCTGCGTCTGATTCAAAGTCAAACCGACGAGCAACAAAATGAAAATAGAAACTCTGTTAGAGAAAATCTGAGCTGCCTCTAGTTTTTGTCCCTGCTGCCATCGTTTAGAGAGTTTTTCTCTGTTTATCATAACACCTAATASGATTTCAGGCATTTTGAATTTGATGTTTATTGCTGTTTTTTTTAACATTCCGAAAATGTCAACACTGTCTAACTTCTGCCAAAGTCTTTTTAACTTCCATACAGCTGACAATATCATCCATGTTTTGACTKTAAATGACATAAACATGTTTTTAATTTTTTATCTACGTCATTCTGGTTACTTTATCCAAGGACTTTCTGTTTTTCTGAGCTTCATAAAAGCAAAGAGATGCTGTAAAATATTAACAACACAGTCTTGTTTCGATCAGGGAATTTTGGGTTATTTGTACAGCGTCAAAACAAACTTTTAAATTGATCCTAACACTAAAAGTCAGATAATCGTTACTATTGCTACTGGAAAATTATATGAAGTATGTTTTTGTCTGAACTGAGTATGTGCAAAAAAAGTATCACCAGAGTTTTTGTCTTTTACTAATGCTGGTCTAAGGAATCTATTGTTGCACATACGTTTTTCAAATTAAAAGTTCTTGAGTTCATTAATGTTTTTTTAATGGCTCAACTTATTTGTGTAATAAATCTGACTGAATTTTCTTTAAAAACAATGATAAAAACTTGGACACTGGTCACTTTCTGCTGCCTGTGTTTTAAAAGAATAACACTCAGCTAGTTAAAAATATCAAAATAAGAGTTTATGTATCTTTTAATGCAACAGAGCTGGGCTGATATACTGAAGGCATTAAATTCAAACTCTGGATTGTCAAYTGTAAAAAGACTGTTGTTAACACGCACGATGTGCTTGATGATCAAGTTAATTGATGTATATAAATACACATATCTTTAATGAACAGCTGATCAGTCTGTTTCAGACAAAGTTGGGATTGAGTTGAGTCCAGATTTAATCAGATTTAATAAAATTAATTTAAAAAAAAGTACCTTTTATTGTGACATTTACTTCTACAGCCCCAGAAATACTAAATGGTAACTAAATGGGGATGTGTTTAACCTTAGGGCAGTGTAACACTGTATTATAAAGCATGAACTGTAGAGGGCATATCTTCACAAGAGAGGGTGCAAATCAGAACACTTCAGCCTGGTTTATACTCCATGAGAAGTGCCGGAGTTGTCTTGCTAACGTGGTTGCGTGATGAGAATTGCGTCTTTTCTTTCTCACAATCGCCACTGAGACCCCATCATGTGCATGGCCTCCCATCGGAGCTAGTTTCTCACTGGGCATGCGCCAAGTGTCATGTGATTGGTCAGAATTTTATTGGCGTGTTGGTATATAAAAAATGTTGCTACTCTTATTTCTGCCCCCGTTTAGGAACAACTGGCTGAGTGTGTAAGAAAATACAGTCATCTTTACAGTGGTTGCAGAAAAAATGAGAAAGATATGYAAAAAAAAGAAGAAGTTGTCAAGGGGCTCATAGAAGGAGACAGTGTGGAGACACAGGCGGCTCTCCGTGGTGGTGCTGGTTGGAAACGGTGACGTCTGTTCGTGTCAGATTTACAAAATAAAGCACTTCTTGGTTATCAACATAAATATTGTTTGCACATGACGTGTGCTGCAGTGGGAGGGCCTTACAAGAACTTCTCCCCTGCAGCATAAACTATGCAAAGAGAGTCTCAAAATCATGTTAGTGAGGTCCAATGTCGTGTCTTGTGAAGTAAAACCAGGCCTTTAATCTTAGCACACAGTAAAGATAATTTGCATTGTCCAAGCTTTCTGAAAAGTGGAATTTTTGAGATGTATACAAATAAAATAATTTGTTTCTAAATTAAATGAAGCAAAAAAAATTACAGTTGTCATTTCTGCTGTCATGTTGTGCTGCTTTTCATGTTATATCTTGTGCACTGTAAACTATACCACATGTATTCCAGAACACCTCAATTGACATTGATTTATTTTTATGCTATGTTTTATCACCAGTATAAGGTGTTTCTGCTTCACATCTGGAAATCCTGATAAAATTTTTCACAGACAAATTGTGCCTTGGGCAAGCAATAWTTTTTTTCAAACATGTATAACTTTTATTTCCACCCCAAAACATTTGATTAATCTTAAATTACCTTAAAAACCATTAAGGTTTGTTGTTYTGATTTAGACTCTATGCACTGCGATAAAGACTGTTGAGAAAAAACTTAAACTGAAATAAATCAGTCAATCCTCACTTGGTTTGTGTCATTTTTCCTGGATATTCACTCTTAAAATTGTACAACTTTGCTCTATGATTGAACAAACCATTCAATCACGACATAAGCTTCCTTTCAATTTTCTTACTTAACTTTATCTTAATTGTTTGTAACTAAAGCACACCTTTATTTGCTCTGCATACTAATAGGAAAAGTGAGGTGGGTGACATTACACCTATTGCCTAATTAAAACAAATGAGTTTGTAAAAACAACTAAAACAAAGATTATAAAAGTCATTGTGGTCTTTTTGATATTAATTCTAGCAATCATCAAAGGCTTCTGTAGAATTTAAATACTTTGTGGATTTCAAGAGCTGATCTTGATTATTTGATCTTGGTTTGGTCAGATGACTCCACCTGCTGGCAGGTTTCTGCATTACTCAGTAAAAATCAGTTTATTGTTTATAAAGCATATCTCTGACAAGAAGAGCAGCTCTGCAGCTGCAGTGTAGTTTTAAAGTCTCTAATATGCCGCTGTGTGTATTTATTTTGTCTTGAATTAGCATTTATTTACTGTTTATTTAAATTAGACAAATTTATAGATTTAAATTAAACAACAAACCCATACATTAGTCACATGGTAGAGACATGTCTATTAAAATAAGTATTCTACTTTGAAACAATAAAGCCTATTATACCATACTGATAAATTAAATGTAAACATAACAATTTGACCAGAATGTTACATATGTATTTGACCCTTTTCCTCTAATAAATATAGGGTAGGCTACATTATTTATTTCAACTTTTATTTTATTTATTTATATCAAAAGCAAGCCTTTGTATTTTCATGTCATGTAAACAGAAATGTTTTGACACTAGCCATTTGTTTTGTAATTATGAATATAAATTGCATTCACGACTTACATATTAATACTTTGATAAAAGCTACAAAGGGCCATTGCAGAAGGACCAAAGGGCCACGTGTGGCCCAAGAACCGCAATTTGCTGACCCCTGGTTTAGTAATTTTAAATACTCAATTTATTATAGTCAGCTTCAGTGATTAAACGAAGCTTAAAAAGAAAACAATTGTTGTATTTCATGTAGGAAATGTAAATATGTCGGGGGGAGTGTGTCATTTGAGCGGCTCCGTCACATACCGGATGAGCACCCTTCCCTTCCTCCTCTCGGCCGGGCTGGCGTGTCTTCCTTCCGGGCTTGCCGAAGAAAGTTAAGGGAGGTTCAGCCGCTGCTGGGGCTTTTACATAATGGACAGCCAGGGAAGGAAAGCGGTGGTCTGTGACAATGGAACCGGGGTAGGTTTGCATTCGTGGCTCGGTGTTTTATCGAGTCGCTGTTCGGTTTAAACGGAGCTGTAATGTCGGAACATTTTTTCCCCCTTACCGAAACAGGAAGTGGAGGCTGTCAGTTAGCCTCGACTGGGCGTGTAGCCTGTTAGCATGCTAATTCTCATTCATCCAGATTTGGCTCGAATATGTCACACAAGGTGTTTGTGAATGCCAAGTGAAACGCTGGATTTGTAGCTTTGTAAAAGCCTCTCACGGGTGCAGAAATATCCAAATCCCTTTGGTCAAAACGGCTGTTTTTAGTAGCCAGCGGTAACTAAGCTAAAGATGCTAACTAGCCTTCCAGGTTAAACAGCTGTGTCTGGTAGCATCGTCACTGATTTTAATGATTTGTTCAGCGCCCACTCGGAATTTGCAGACTAATTATTTCTCCCATTCAGGTGATTTGTTTAACAAGAAAACCAGCTTGTTGTATTTGTACACAACGTACCGATAGCTAGGTGTACGCTTTAGGCCGAGTCAGGTAAATTGAGGAACCTTCTTATGTTCGCTCAAAAAAAGAGAAAAAAATGTTATCTGCGGTAATTAACAAAGGTGCTGGGGACAAAGAAACATATTTAAGTTTCAGCAGCTAATGAGTACAGACGAATTAACTGCTGTTGACATATTGATAAATGTTTTAAGGACAAGGTTCGACAACTTCCGGAAAACGACACAAGACCATTAACTCAGTGACAAAACAATCCTAAACAAACAAATAAAAAGTTAATTCATTTTGCAGATTAGCATGCACAAGTCCATGTATAAAGATATAAACGCATCAAAACTTAAACTGATTTTTGGGTTAAATAATTTTTTATGTTAAAACATTTTTGCCTGAGCAAACTAAGTAAACTAAAAAAGAAAATTAATGTCTACAATAAACATACACCTCTTTAGTAGAAAGTAGTTTGTGTTCTAAACAATGAAATAAACAAAGACTTAAGAGATTTATTTAGGAGAAAATAAAACTTGCTTTATTCAGTATTTGTCCAAAATTTTAAAGAGGCTAAAAACAATAGGCCCTGAGTCAGAAAGCTTGTTAAACAAGCAAAAAGAAAAAAAATATATATAAAGGAATTTTTTTCATTGTATGGGAACACACAATGACAATTCACATCACWTAAGTGGCAGCTCAAGCAAATAACTTTTTAAAAAATCTTTATTTAACCAAACTGTAGGCCGTTAACGTTATTTGTGAAAATGGCCCAATAGATGAAGGGATTTCTTCTATTAAAATCATAAAACTATGCTTTTATAGACTTGCTCTGAGTTTAAAATTAAAGGAGATTATAAAAAAATAATTTTAAAAAGGAACATTTTCTTTTTGTAAATTCATTATGGGATGATGCTGTGTTTTATGAGACTGTTTGGAAGAAGTCATCTGCAGCCTGGGGCGAAGAACCACCAAAACGTATTATTTTCAATGGCTGATGTAGATCAGGCTAAAAGGAAGTAGGCAGTGTATGGTCAATTTATGAAYCTGATATGCCTTTATCAAACAAACCCATAGGCTTTACATCCATCTACACATGTCAAACTTAAATGCAAAAGGCTTAAATGCAGTTCCAAGCCTAAAGTTAYTAATCTTTTAGCTCTAAAAGTCACATTTCATATCCTACCAAATAAATAAGTAATTTTCAGACATGAATATAATAAGGGCTTTGCAGTTTCCCCTGATAAATACAACATTGTTCTTGTAAAACACAGCAACATAGTCTGGTGTTGTATTGTAAAAGCTCCCCTGCTGAGAAAAGGACAGTGTCAAGTGCTGCCCACAGATGTGCCTGTGTTTTATTCTGCTTAGAGTCCCCATGTGTGGCTAGTGCCAATTGAGGGTGAAGAGGTTAAAACAGTGTTTACCAATCAGTTTCTCCACTTCTGTGCCTTACATTTAACATAAAGTTGTTCAGGAAATCAGCTGTATTTTTGTATCAATTTATTTTTTTTAACAGAGTTGCCACATTCATATAACCAGAAAAATTATGCTCAAATATTTTCATGCATCTGAAAACTGCATTGTCGTTTACCACAACACAGTTTTATCTCTGTTGTGATCGAGTTCTGCTCACTGCAACAGGTAAAACTGCCTTTTTTGAATTTCAGGGACTTCCTTATTTAAACACCGTCAGCAGCCAAGGAGGATGTTGCCTCAGCATGTTACTGACTAATAAGGCCTTTTTATTTTCGACTGTGACTTTTCAAGAGCGTTGTGTGAAGCCAAAAAAAGAAAAACTGCCATTTGTCAGGGTTGAGCTGAGAAGTCAGGAGGAAGTGAGAAGAGACGAAGCCACAGCCACTGATGTCACCGACATTTTCTGAGAGCTCTGACAAATTCTGCTTTAATTTGTGTAGCTGCAAGCATAAATACCTGTTAACACGGGCAGATCGGATTATATATTATTTTCAATTTGTAAAGCAGGAATGGGAAGTCACTTCCCTTGGTTGTTTAAATATTTTAGTGACATGCACTGATTCTAAAAAAGTAAAGTTTCCAAATCATTTTTGATTATTGATTTGCAAATGGATTCAAGTCAAAACTGATCGTTTTTTGTTTTTCATATGAGGTTGTTGCAGAATTTAAACTAAATATACATTTGAATGCAGCTTTGTTAGCTTGTTTTCTTTTCTGACCTGCAGCCGAACGGTGAGACGATACTCTGGTGTTGAATGTCAGCTACTTATCTTATCAGCACTTAAACGTATTGCCTAATCAGTTCCTCCCTTCTTTTTTTTTTTTTCTTTTTGTCTTTGGTGTGTTGCAGTTTGTCAAGTGTGGCTATGCAGGCTCCAACTTCCCAGAGCACATCTTCCCTGCGCTTGTTGGGAGACCCATCATTCGCTCAACAGCCAAAGTGGGAAACATTGAGATTAAGGTACGAACTGGTTCTCCTGATGTTCCTTGATGATAGGTTTGTGTTTCAAGACATAAAATCAAGTGTAAGTTTTTCTTCTCAAGAAAAAGGTTTCAGATGTTTTTATTCATTCTTGTAGTATGATTGAAAGATCCTGTATATTGTAGGATAAGATTGTTTTTTTTTTAATCATGGTACTTGCCACTACTTTTTTCTTAATTTTAAGTTGCTTTCTTTATTCATCTTTTTCTTTTCTACCTGCCTTACTTTTTTTTTTTTTACATGTTTTGTTCTCCCTCGTTGAAGTAGAATGCCCAGAAGATGGTAAGTTCAGGTTGGGCCTCCTGTTCGTGCCTGCTGCCGAGAGTTGTGAAATGTTATGCTCCGACTTGAAATTAAATGGTTTACATCTAATTTGTTTGCTGGTTTATTTTTATTATTTTTTATATATATATATTTTTTTGCTGTTCAGTTTGAGGGTGGGCGACCAAATGAGTGGTGTCGGGTAGAGAAACACCACTTTCTGTTAACGTACTCGGTTCTCCAGGCTTAAAGTGTTGGCGGCGGTGCCTGTGATGAATCATCGGCCAGCTGTTATCGATGGAGTGCTAAAAGAGATTTGGAACGGGTTCCATTTTCAGACTCTGATCTCCTCGTGCACCCTGACAGCTAAACGCCCACCTCAGTCCTGCTGCAGCATTCAGGAGAAAATAAAATGAAATGTCAGCTTCAGCTGGAGCGCTCGGCCTYATCTATTACAGCTCTTTTAGTGCGCTATTATGAAACAAAAATATATATATATTGAAGTAATGTTCAGTATGGAACAYTTCTCGCTAGTCTTGAAGTTCTCATACTCAAGGAAACATGGCAGACAGCTGGGAAGTCTCAGACAGAGGGACATCTGTTTTGCTTTTATTAAAAACATGCCTGTGACTGGTACTTTGTTAATGCCAAAGCACACAGGATGAACCCATAAAATGGCTGCCTTCAGCGGGCTTTTGATGTCTTTAAGTGGAACGTAAGATGCTTGACTGCGTGGCTAACACCGAGTTTTAACCCAGCAGCTGTTTACACTGCCGGGCTGCCTTGCATGTGGATGTTTGAATGGAAGATGAAACAAAAAGTGTGGTTTGCTGGAGCGGCGGCCAAGTGTTTCCAGGTGTAAATGCATGGAAAGTAATGCTTTGTAGTGCATGCTGGGTAACTGAGTCTTAAACTGAAGGGCTACACGAACGCMTCTGTTGGTGTCTGACAGATGACTCGAGATTTTGTGGTTTGAGCTAAGAAGGCAAGTTGAGGTAACTGAAGTTTGCTCAGTTAAACGCTAAGGTTAGCTATTCAGAAAAGATATATGTATATATTGTTGACCCTTTTTTTTTTTCCCAGGATCTGATGGTGGGAGACGAGGCCAGCGAGCTGCGCTCCATGCTGGAGGTGAACTATCCCATGGAAAACGGCATCGTCAGGAACTGGGACGACATGAAGCACCTGTGGGATTACACCTTCGGCCCAGAGAAGCTCAACATCGACTCTCGCAACTGCAAGATCCTGCTCACCGAGCCCCCCATGAACCCTACCAAAAACCGGGAGAAAATCATYGAGGTACATTTTTTTAACAATTTGTGGCCAGTGTTAAGGTTGCCTGATAAAAGTATTATTTTAGAGACAGTTTAGACTGTAGCGACTTGTTGCAGGACATGAAATAATAGTATTTCTTCCACTATCCTCTTAATATTTTATGTGCTGCTTTTTTTGGTTTTCTGAAAATCTATTTCTCCATCCCTGTCTGTCACAGGTGATGTTTGAGACCTACCAGTTTGCAGGAGTCTACATTGCTATTCAGGCTGTTCTGACACTGTATGCCCAAGGTAAGAATGTTGCTTTTCAATCCAAGGCTGCATATTTCCAGTCCTGTCCTTACAAAGTATTTTTAACTAAGGCAATATAAAATTGGGTGTTATTATTAGTTACTAATTAGATTAGGCCTTTTTTTGCTTTTTGTAGAGCTGATTTTTCACTGTTTCTGTCTCTAGATCCTAGCTCAGAGCTGTTAGTCATAAAAACATTACAGTAACAAAATCCATGCGTGGCATTAGAAGTGTCATTTTCTCCCAATTTGTGTTTATTTCCAGCTGCTGAATATTGCTTTGTGGCTGCTTGTTCCAAGTGTTGCTTTTTAATGTTCTTTTCATCCCAAGACACTTGTTGGCTTTCCTTTTGTTTATGAAGGCCTCTAGGATTGATGGTTAACTCATGTTTGTGTCTCAGGCCTGCTCACCGGTGTGGTGGTGGACTCGGGTGACGGCGTGACACATATTTGTCCAGTGTACGAGGGTTTCAGTCTGCCCCACCTGACGAGACGCCTGGACATCGCAGGCAGGGATATCACCCGCTACCTCATTAAGGTATCCCATCTCATAAAAACCATGAAACTCTTAAGGGTTAAACAAACTGTAGGTTTTGCTGTTTTGAACAGATGGTTAGGTAAAACTCACCAACTCTCCATCCATKTTTTGTGTGTGTGTGTTTGGATGCAGTTGTTGTTGTTGAGAGGGTACGCCTTCAACCACTCTGCAGACTTTGAGACAGTGCGCATGATGAAGGAGAAGCTGTGCTAYGTTGGCTACAACATCGAGCAGGAGCAGAAGCTGGCACTGGAGACCACCGTGCTGGTGGAATCATACACGGTAAACAACTCGGTTAACAAAGTGACAAAATTATTTATTTGTAGGGACCTTAATTCAATTATAATTCACTATTAATAAAACCATTATTGATGCACATTGATAAAACTTGAATTTAATCTATTTTCATGGCTAATGGCGTGCAACACTTCAGCACCATCGCAGTCTGTCATCCAACAATTAGCATAGATGCTAACTTAATATTAAAAGCACCTTGGAAAAGCTAGCTTGATCAGTGTCATGTTTATCGCTTGAAGTTTATACAAAAATCAAAGGGTTCAAAGTAAGGCAAGTCATGATAACTTCAGCTCTTATAAAMACATTTTTAAGGCTCAAGAAAGAAAAGATGTGAAAACACTCGACCTTACTGCAACACGAAGCTACARTGTTTGTACTGGGACAAACGGCACTGTGTAGCAACTACTCTGTCTGTGAAAAAGGCTTTTTGTTTTGTTTTAGTTACAATCAGTTTCTGACTTCTGAAATGTTGGTTTAGTCTTTCACGTCCGCAATGTGAAGAATTGAAGTAATGAACTCCTCGTCCTACACTTAGCAGAACATTTTTTWAAATAAAATCTGGGAGTTTCTATTGCCTTTAAAGAATCATGGCCATGTTTGTTTTTGTAGTTTTATTAATTCTACAAAAAACAAATGTGATACTCAAAACTTTTTCTGAAGATTTCAGTGAAATTTGAATTTAAAATAAAGGTTTATGTATATATATATATATATATATATATATATATATATATATACACACTCTGTATATATATACACTGTATACATATGTATATACAGTGTATATATATATATATATACACACTGTATATCTCAATCACCAAAGTTCTTCTAAAGTCTGCCCATTTTATCCTATTCAAGATGCTGGCAAACTTGTTGTCCCCCCGTCGCCGAGGTGGGGTCTGTTGGCATTGAGTTCTATCTTGTTACATGTTGTATTCTTATTGTTAAAGTTTTTACTTTGATATAAAAATGATCAAATGACTACATTTGCAATTGTCGTTTTATCATTTGCTCATTYAGTATGGTTGATGACACAATAGGGAAGATTACTGACCTCTCTTGGACATTGTGTACGTGAAATACTCAGTCACATTGAAAATACATTTATAAATACTTAAAAGGACACATGAAGAGTAAGAGTTTAATTTAAACTCTAACATGACGAAACAGTTTCTGCATTTGACATTCTTTGTGAAACATTTTGTTTCCATACTTTCTGTTGTCACTTATCTATAATAAGTGCAAGAAATAGCAGGAAACTGTATGAAGAAATATGGAAATGTCACTTTTTCGATATACATTTGTGATACCCGGTAACATCCATACTTTGATACAGTTCAGTATCAGTTTAATGTATTTTTATCACTTTAATCTATTTTAGGGAAAATCAACAGTTTACCTTTAAAGTGTGCATGACATGCACTTTCTAAAAACAAATAAATTGGAACTAAACATCGTAGTATTTAGGAAATTTGGCAAAATACCCTTTATTTTAGTTTAAARTGTAATAGAAAACCATTTGATCACATAACAGGTGTATTGTTTASAACTTTGTGTGGTCAAAGTGCAACTGTAGGTGATAAAGTGGAACTTCCTGGTTTTTTTTTTTTTAAACAAGCAAAAAATGTAATACCAACAAGCGAGTGAACAAGTTGTAAAACCAATGTTAGTATGTGCTGGTGGTTGCAGTAATGCTGCGATAACAGACAGTTTGCTCTGCTTTCCTGTGAATAAGATAAGAACTGCCTGAATCAGAGAGYTTCCTTTACTACTATTATTGGTTGGTGCTCATTGTAGCGACGCTCTGTTTACATCTAGACGTTCGTCTTTGTCGTCATGAGTGCAAAACTGTTCATCTCAGCTGCCAGATTTTTATTTTTTATTTTTATGTTATCAACRTTGTTTTGATAATTCCTTTGTATTTATCAGAAAAAAATGCTGTCACGGTCACTTTAAATCTAAATTTAGYTCTTTCCATACTCCTTACATGTGCACGTTTCTTATTTCTGCTAGCAATGTAATATCATGGAAAGAATTCCTCTTCACGGATTTGTAATTAAGATGTATTTTTTGTGTACTCCCATCGAACGGGGTAACTAAATATTAGTCCGGAGCTGAAGGGACTACCACATGCTCGTTGGCTGCCTACAGACAGGGCAGTACAGCTGATGAATTGTTTGCTCTGGGACGCAGACATATGGGTGTGTGGCGCTCCACCGTCAGACTTGCTTTTCTTTCCAAGATCCATTTTTCCCTTCGGAGGGAACCACAGAGTCTAAACGTGGGTCCTGCAGTCGGTGTTCCTGCACGCCTCTCCTAGCACATGTTGTGTCTCGGAGCCGACTGTGACCGTGTGTGTTATAGTTGGTGTTGGGCGGGCGAGTGTGTAGTGTGCGGCGAAACAAGGAGAGCAATGTGACTGTGGCTGCAGGGCCCTGAGCTGCGTGTGACATCATTTCCTGTGCAGCCACTTTGCGGCGTGGCTGGGTCCTGCTTCCTCCCACTGCCCTCTGCTGAATGAGGCCTTTTTACAGCCACACAGTTTGAAACCCACAGTTTCTCTTTACTCTAAGTACTGTTCACTTTAATACCCATCAGCAGTCACACATTTCTTTCATAAAATGATACATTAATAAGATAAAACTTGTTTTGCATCTAATTTTGGTGTTTTTCTAATAAGTCCTCCACCCTGTGAGACACTAAACCCAGTTTCCTCTGTGGTGTCATGCTCTTTATCCCCTCTCTTTTCATCTCATCCCTCCCACACATCTCCAGCTGCCAGATGGCCGTGTGATCAAGGTGGGAGGAGAGAGGTTCGAGGCCCCCGAGGCTCTGTTCCAGCCTCACCTCATCAACGTGGAGGGGGTCGGAGTGGCTGAACTCCTCTTCAACACCATCCAGGCAGCTGACATAGACACCAGGTGAGAACCAACAAGCACATAAACCTACACTGTAGTGAAATGTATAAAGGCTTTTTTGAGTAATGACTGGTTTCTGCAGCTGTAACAATATAAACACAAATCTGCACAAGAAATGGAAAAACACCAAAAAGTAAAGGAGTCAGAAAATGTCCCTTCCTCCTGCCATTGTTGTCCTTCCTTGTCTACACCAGGCCCGAGTTCTACAAACACATCGTGCTGTCGGGAGGCTCCACCATGTACCCGGGTCTGCCGTCTCGGCTGGAGAGAGAACTCAAGCAGCTGTACCTGGAGCGTGTGCTCAAAGGAGACGTGGACAAGCTTTCGGTGAGAAGCTAACGTCACGCTTCTTTGTGTTTTTGTTTTTAACCGGCTTATGTGACAAGTGTCAGCAAGCCTGACTTAAACCTGCTGCGACGTGGTTCTCAGTAGGACTGACTCTTTTTTAATGTCAAGTTAAAAATGTGTTCAGCTGTGACCAATGTGAGTTTTAAAAATAGAATTCTAAATTTAATGCTACCTTCAGATTTTGCAAACTTTTACTGTGTTTAACTACTTGTTTGAAGCGAATTAAAAGAAACTGCTCAGTCTCAGAGTAGTTTTAAATTAGTGTGGAGTATCTTACATGTGAGAAAGGTACAAATATTACACTATTTAAGCCACTTTGATATCTAAAATAAAAATAAATAAATGATCTTTAATTTATTTTTAAGAAATATGCACTGTGACTGCTGGATATGGGCACCAGTGACCCACGCGACCCTGAAAAGGAAGAAGCGTGTACAGAAAATGGATGGATGGATGGATGTTTAAAATCAGGATGAAAAAACTAGAAAGATTGTTTTTAATTTTTAGTAACGGGGTGTAGTGTAGCCAGACGACCACCAGGTGGTACCAGAGCGTAAAATACATTCATCTTTACAAGCCCAGTCAAAATAACATGAAGGGAACATTTAGCAGTCATATATATTTACTTAAAAACATTAGATATCATGTATGGATCCCAAAGTAACAGATGGTCTTACACAAGACTTCTTGTAAACGTCTTTTTCATGACTCATGTTTAAGGTTTTCTGTTTGTCCTCAGCTGCTCTCGGCAGTAAACTTAGTTATCTCACCGGATGTTTGTCATAAAATTATACAAATATGCAAAAATACGATACAAATAAAACAAAAACGATACTCTATGACTTTGCATACCAGGAAAAAAAAAACTTACATGGTGCTAAAATGAGCTGAACGAATAAACACACGTCATATTGCACCATGACTTTAGTTGACGAAAGCAAAACCAAAATGCAGAAGTAGTGTGGGCGAACGTGTAGAAGTAATAAACAAGTACACCACTGTGGTCTCATGATACGATCATGCAGTTTTTGAGGGTAAGTTTCAACCAGGTGCTGTTTATTAGTGCACCTCTATAAAAGTAGATAATTTGTCAGCATGTTGCTTTGAAGAGTACAGGTTTGTTTCCACAATGACGGAGTGGAAAGACATCAGCATTGATCTTTGGAAAAAAAGTGTTTCTGATAATTTTACAGAGGGTTATAGGGCCATTTTCAAATTATTTACTGAAAAATATTGAAGAAATTCCAGATTTTAGACCATACCCTGATTAAAGTAGTGGGTCTAAATGAAGTGGACGTTGTAATCCGGAGTGGGCCAGAGTTTCTCCACAGAATGCTGAGAGCTCAAACAGCAGGGCGATTATATCAAGATGTAGCTGCTAAACACATTTCTGCATCTGAAGCTCGGACTTTCAGCTGTTTTTGTTTATCTTAGGCTCTTATGAGCAACAAACAGCAGCTTTATGCTTCACCCTATTTGGTGAAAATATGAGTGTTTGGACACAGTAAGTAAGTGGATTTTTATTAACACACGGTTTGAGGATGTTAGTTTTTCTAACCTGTTGCCACATGACTAAGATGAGAGGAATTTTGCCGGCAAAGCCTCCAAATCTCCTAAATAAGATATAAAACTGATTTGATGACCCCCCCACACCCCAAAAAATTAAAATAAAAAATCCAGATTCACACCCAATCTTTCATGTTTCTGTGTCTTTCACTTGATTCTTTTGGCAATTCTAGATGTTGGGATTAGTAATGTAGTGTTAACAAATAAAACTTTAAAATAAAAACAGTGAGTCTTTAAAGAGAAATCTTTATAGGGACTAAAACTGCAGTTCTAATAAAGAAAATCAGCATAAATGATCATTAAAAAGTTAATAATATAGTTGAAAATGAAAATGGGAAAAAAATTCTAAACCTACAATTGGCTGTTCCAGTGCATTAAAAAGAAAACAGGTAAAGGTTCATGTTTATTGCCAGTTTAGGTCTGTATTGTTTTTTTTTTTAAGTCCTAAAATTTACATACGTGACTTTTCTTTACAGCTTTTAGATTTTATCATCAAACGTGTTGGAAACATCATAACAAACAGGGCTAAGTGATAAACGTAAGAAATTAGACTAAAAAATGCATCAGTGTTTGAAAAGTGTCTCCAGACTATTTTCTGATTTATTAATAATTCATAAAGTGCTTAAAACAGTTTAACAACAACCTGACTGAAACATTTAGAGATCATTTGGTGATGGTAGTCTTATAGAGACGTGATCCCAGTCAAACGCTTTGTTGTTGGATCTAAAATGTTGCTTTTTGTTAGCTCTCTTGCTATTTCTGCTCATTTTATGCAGCCTGGTCACATAAATTGACCTAAATCTTAAAAATAACTGCGAAAAGTTGTTAATAAATCAAACTGTTTGGACATTTTCTTCACTGGAGAAGCTTCAGCTGCATCATGAACTTATCACAAGCCTCCATGTCTCCCTCGTTTTACAGAAATTTAAGATCCGGATCGAGGACCCTCCCAGGCGAAAGCACATGGTGTTCCTGGGCGGAGCCGTTCTGGCCGACATCATGAAGGACAAGGACAACTTCTGGCTGACCCGGGAGGAGTACCAGGAGAAAGGAGTCCGTGTGCTGGAAAAACTCGGAGTCACCGTCAGATAAAGCTCCGGACGGACAGAACACACACACACCTGCACACACACCTACACACACACACACACACACACACACACACAC